CAGAGGCACCACTCTCCATCTCCAGGATGACCAGGGGCTGGTTGGGGTTGCTGTCGATGAGCTGCTTTGTCCTCTCCAACACTCGCTTCTGGAGGTCAGCCTTGCTGGCTTGGTCTAGGTCATCCAGGACCTTCTTTAGGGATTTCAGAGTCTCCCGAAGTTCATCCTTCTTCCACTGGGGAATAACCGCGGTGGCCAGGGCCTCACCAAGGTCAGCAATCTCCTTCTGTACATCCTTGTTTGGTGTGGTCTGGGCATTCACTTTGGACTCCATGGTGGAGAGAGATTTCTTTAAGCTCTCTGCCTTCCTGAGGGCCTTCTGGGCTTCAGCACCTGTGATGGCAATGATCCTGCAGATACCCTTGGCAATAGCTTCTTCTGTCACAATCACAAAAGCTCCTGCATGACTTGAGTTCCGCAGATGCGTTCCTCTGCAGAACTCAGCAGAAGTGAGGGAGCCAGCAGGCCCTGAGGGGTCATCCAACAGCTCGGACACTGGGACCCCAATGGACACAACTCGCACAGGGTCAGGATAGGTCTCATCAAACACAGCCCGCAGGCCCTGGATGGCTTTGGCTGCTGCCAGTGGACAGTCCTGGGTATAGACCGGCTTGGCTGCCTCAATCATCTCATTAGCGATTTCTTCGGCCTTCTTAATCTGTTGGGTGGACATGGCTCCCTTGGCAGTGAAGTCAAATCGAAGGCGGTCAGGAGCGACCAGTGAGCCTTTCTGATCCGCCTCCCCAAGCACTGAGCGCAGGGCAAAGTTGAGAATGTGGGTGGCTGTGTGGTTGCTCATGATGGGTCTCTGCCGGGGCTCATCAATGAACAGCCGGACCTGATCGCCCACTTTCAGGCTGCCATAGATGGTGCCTATGTGTAGCACATACCCTCCTTGCACCTGAGTGTTCTTCACTGTGAACTCAGTTTTGTCCTCGCTGCTGTCGTCCACCTTCACCAGGTAGCCTTCATCGTAGATCTGCCCCCCTTGCTCAGCATAGAAACAAGTCTTGTCCAGCACCACTCCACACTCCTGACCCGTGGACACCTCTTCCACGAACATCTCTCTCCGCAGAGCCTGCACTGTGGCCACTGCACTCTCAAACACGTAGCCACCGCTGGAGTCTGAGTGGTAGCTATACTTCGGAGTCATCCGTGGCCTCTAGGCCCTGTGCCCGCAGCTCTTCGATAGCGTAGATATCCAGCATAATGTGATCTTCCCTGCCTGCGCCCTTGCCCTGAGACTTCAGCTGGGCCAGCTTCCGCTCCTCTTCAAAGCCATCCATGTCTACCACCAGGCCCTTCTCTTCAGCAATGAGTCCAGTGAGATCCACTGGGAACCCATAGGTGTCATAGAGTAACCAAGCAGTGTCACTTGGAATGGTCCTGCAGTCTCCCAGGCTCTGAATTTTCTGGTCCAGGATGCGACGTCCTCTGCTGAGTCTTGAGAAACTGCACTTCTTCATTAATAATGTCCTTCGCCATGTCTGGGTCTTTCTTTAGCTCAGGAAATGCGTCTCCCAGGGACTGCACAACAACGTCGACTAATGTGGCAAAGAAACCCCTGCTGGCGTTGAGTTTCTCGTGGGAGTATCGGACAGCCCGGCGGAGAATCCGTCGCAACACATACCCTCGCCCTGTGTTGTCATGCCGGCCACCGTCAGCCAGGGCCACAGTGATGGTCTGAGCGTGGTCAGCCAGCACTCTGTAGGCCATGTCAATCCCATCAGCATCCTCAGCCCCAACCTTCCCAGTATAGGGACGGGCGCCTGTGCCCTTCTGTGTGGCTTCAAAGTAGGGAACAAAGAGGTCAGTGTCATAGTTGGACATCTTATTCTGTAGCACAGACACCAGTCACTCCAGCCCCATCCTCGTGTCAATGCTTTTCTTGGGAAGAGGTTTCAAAGTGCCATCCGTCTCCCTGTTATACTGGATGAACACAAGGTTCCAGATCTCGAGCACATTGGGATCGTCCTGGTTGACAAGGTGTGCAGCATCTCGGTCACCAATCCAGTCATAGTGAATCTCGCTGCAGGGACCACATGGGCCTGTGTCACCCATCTCCCAGAAGTTATCCTTCATGTTGCCAGGGAGGATTTTGGTGTCATCCAGCCCCAAATTTTGCCAGATGTTTACATTCCAGATCTGGTTCTAAGCCAGCTGCTTCATCCCCTCCAAAGTAAGTAACATAGAGTCTGTCAACTGGAATGCCAAACTCTTGAGTGAGAAGTTCCAGAGCCATCTTACATGCTAATTCCTTGAAGTAATTGCCAAAAGACCAGGAGCCCAGCATCTCAAAGAAAGTGTGGTGATAAACATCTTTGCCCACGTCATCTAGGTCATTGTGCTTGCCCCCAGCCCGGATGCATTTCTGCGTATTGGCAGCTCTGCTCAGCTTTGCCAAAGGGTGAGATGGGTCGATGGTGTTCAGGAAGATGGGTTTGAACTGATTCATGCCTGCATTGGCAAAGAGCAAAGTAGGGTCATCCAATGGGATGGTGGCAGATGAGTGAACATAGGTATGCTCATTTCTTTTGAAGAAATCTATAAACTGTTCCCGGATTACACTTGCTGTTAGAGTTGAGTTCATCTTGAAAGTCACCCCTGAGAACTAACGCAAGTCCCAGCCGCTCTCCCGGACCAGCAGGGGTCTCAAGAAACGTCCGCCTCCTGGGAGACCTCCGTCCCTAACTCCTCCTTTAGTACTCCTATATTGTCATTTGTCTGTTACACTTAAGGGTTAAAAAATTAACAATGAAAATATATAAGATAGAGCTGGTGAGATAGTGCTTGGGAGGCTAAAAGGAGGAGGATCACTACAAGTTGTATAGTGAGACCTTCTACCAAATACATTTTAAAAAAAAAGAATGTGAGTTTCATTCCTTTAGTCTATCTGTATGCTTCTGCTTTTGTTTCAGGGAACTGTGCACTAAACTTTATAGTATGAGCTGGGGCAATACACAGAGCTGGCAAGAATTTGACCGCTTTTGTGAATATAATCCAGTGGAAGTATCCATGTTGACCTGTCTAGCAGATGTCCGGGAACCTTGCCAGCTGGGCTGTAGAAATCTTACTTATTGTACTAACTTTAATAACAGGTAGGAATAAATTATTATACATGGAATAGAAATATTTTATCATTAATTATATGGTTATTAAGTAAATAAAAATACCATTTTACTCTGATTTTTTTCCTGCTGGGTTAAAAGGAAACTATAGCTGGGCATGGTGGTACATGCCTATGATCCCAGAACTCCAGGAGGCTGAGGCAGGATTGAAAGTCCAAGCCTAGCCTAGACAATTTTATAACTTAATAAGACCCTGTCCCAAAATAAGAAAGGAAAAAAGGTCTGGGGACATGGTTCAGTGTGAAGGCCATTAATCCAATCTCCAATACTGCCCCCTCAAAAAAATTTTTTGTGTGTGATTTCATCTTTAAATGTTATCTTCCATCTGCTAAATCATCTCTGGGAAAGGAAGCACTATTACAAAGTTCTTTCTAATCTAAAGATGCCTCAATCTTCTGGAATTTAGAGACTCTTCTCTGCCTTTAGTCCCTTTTTCCTTCTACTCCATCATCACTAGGGAAACAATTCATTGAAGCATAAATAATTGTAAATTGTTAGATCACCCAGATGTACTCCTGAGGACAGAGTGCTTTGAAAGACCTTCATACTGGTTGAGGGTCCTGCTCCATGACTCCTATCTCATACAATAATATTTCTTTACAATTCAAATGAGTTTTTTCCTAAAGAAACTAGCAAGAAAACTAAGGAGCCGAGAACTAAGATATGAACTTATTTCCAGCTAATGGCTGAGAAAAATTGAAGAAAACAGAAAGACAGGCATTCAGAACACAGGCTAGAACTCTTTTTGAGAGAAGCCAGAGAGGGTTGGTTTCTAAAGAAGAGACTAGGCCAGGGAGATGACTCAGTAGAATAAGCGCTTCCCTGGCAAGCGCAAGGGTCTGAGTTCAATCCCTGGTTCCACCAAAAAAAAAGATAACTTAAGGTGCCAGGGAGATGGCTCAGTGGAATAAGCGCTTCCCTGGCAAGCGCAAGGACCTGAGTTCAATCTCTGGTTCTGCCAAAAAAAAAAAAAAAAAAAAAAAAAAGAAGAAGAAGAAAGAAGAGACTAGTGTTATTGAGGCATCTTTAGATCAGAAGAGAACTGCCACCCTGAGATCCAGAGGGCAGAGGGAAGAGACTCATTCAGTTGGGCCAGAAGAAAGTTTGTAATACTATTGTTGTGTGGTATTTACTTTAATAGTTAATACAGTATCCATTTAAAGTATTCAAGTGAGTGCTGGCGAGATAGCTCAGCAGACAAAGTGCCTGCTTAGGCAAGCACAGGGACCAGGGTTTGATCTCTGGCACCACATGGCATCCTGGCCCCACCCCTGGGCGTGCTGAACTGGCCACCAAGACAGGCACAGTGGTGCACACCTGTAATCCCAATGCTGGAAAGGCTGAAACAGGAGAATCGCTATGAATCTGAGCTGTGTAGTGAGACCCTTACCAAATACATAATAAATAAATAAATAAAAATATTCAAGGGTCTGGGAAGTAGCTCAGCAGATATGTGCCAGCTTGGCAAGCACAAGGTCCTGGGTTCTATCCCTAGGACCCTCCCCCCAAAATAAATTATTAGTTTGAGGAACTATTAAATTGAGGAATCAATGAAAATTTATAATATATGGAAATGCTTCAAAATATTCAGTAATTGAACAAAATGCCTCTAAATAATCTGTGAAACAAAGAAGAAATCATAAAAAAAAAAAAACTGGAAAGCACTTCCAGCTGCATGGTAATGAAAACAATATTTCAAAAATTGGTTTTTCTTGTGTATTGAAGATTGCACCTCAGAGTCCTTACACGGAGTTATATCTCCAGCCCTTTTTAAATTTTTCTTTAAAACAGGGTCCCGTTTCATCAGCTTGTCCAAGCTTGGCTTGGACTTGTGGTTGTCCTGCCTGGCTTCCAGAGTTCTGGGATTACAGGTGTGCTCTATCACCAGCAAGAGCTCATTAATGTTAAGAAGGTAGATGAGTCTTGAGACCAAAAAATTTGAAAACCCCTAGAGTAAACAAATTGCCATGTATTTATTGTGTCTGTCTTTTTGAGACAAGGTCTTGCTCTGTAATTCAGGCTGGTCTTGAACTCATCATATAGCCAGGCTGGCCTCAAACTCACAACCATCCCACTGCCTGTCTCCTCAGCATTGTGATTACAGATGTGTGCCACCATGCCCGAACTGTGTGAATTTTCAAATTGCTTCACAAAAATCTTTTAAAAGGGAAACATACATTACTTTTCTCTAGCAAATAATTGCTTATTATCTCTTGTTTTGGAGGATTTGTTTGTTTGTTTGTTTGTTTGTTTGTTTTTTAGGCCAACAGAACTTTTTAGGAGTTGTAATGCTCAGTCAGATCAAGGAGCCATGAATGACATGAAGCTGTGGGAGAAAGGAAGTATAAAGATGCCATTTATCAACATACCTGTTCTTGATATTAAGAAGTGTCAGCCGGAAATGTGGAAGGCAATAGCTTGTTCACTGCAGATTAAACCTTGCCACAGTAAATCTCGGGGAAGTATTATTTGCAAGTAAGCTTCTCTCATTATATATTTTGCAAGTAAAACTCCAGGTTTGATTCTCTACCTGAAGTGTGTCTTTACAATTTTGTCTGCCCATTTTCCTTTTCCTGTCACCTTCCACTTGTCAAATGCTTTCCTACTTTTCCCTCCTCTGCTTGACTTCCTGTTTCCTCCATACCAGCTTGCTCACTGCCTGCTCCTTTTAGCTGCTCTCAAATACCAGACATTCCTTGTGGAGTCTTCTCAGGTTTACCCAGCACATAATAATGTATCCTTAGTTCAGATTCCTGTAGAACTTTAAAATGTGTTTTCTTTTGGGAATTTAGCTCAAGAAGCATTTTCTGAGTGCCTTCAACATGCAACTCTATGCAGCTTTTTGTTTTAATTTTTCTGGTTTGGTTTTGTGATACACAGGATTTGAACATAAAGTCTTCACAGTGAGTTATAGCCCCAGCTCTTCTTATTTGAGAGTGGGCCTTGCTAAATCACTAAGTTGCCTAAATTGGGCTCAAATTTGCAATCCTTGCTTCCCAGAGTGCTGGGATTCCAGGCGTGTACCACCACACTCCATTTATTTTTGTACCTTAAGGTATGTACTTGTTCTATAGTCTGTTAGATTTTTCTCTAAGGAGTTTATTCTTCCTTGTTTCCTTTTACTTTTATCATCTTCCTTTTCTCCTCTCCAAATATTAGCATAATCCTGTCATGCAATAGATATTTGAAAAATATTTGCTGAGTGAGCTCATGCATGCATCCTTAGGGCCTGTTTCTAGTAAGAACGGTTTGCTTAGGAAATCTAGGATAAAGTAAAGATGGGAGCCCTCTGGTGGGTGAAACTGAAAGTATTTAACTGCACAGTAATCTGTCAGCTGTATTCAAGTATTTTTTTTAAAGCTTTTCTAAAACAAAATTAATATTTAGCTTCTAAATTGCTGGTATCTGGTTTAAATATTGCTAGGCATTTGATGATTCATTTCAGATTATTTCAACCTTAAACAAGGCCTAGGCCTGGTTTCTGACATGCTACATAGGAAAGATCCCAAGATAGAACTATTGAGTGACCAGCAGGAGATAACAAGTAGGAAGTAGATTCAGTATAGAAAAAAGTCCCCATTCAAGAATAGAAAATTTTAAAGTACTGGACTTTGCAGTTGTTATATGCCAACACCTTATTATTAATAATTAAAAAGATAATTTAAAAAGAAAAGAGGAAAGAGAACAAAAGCATAAGGTTCATTTTGTTTTTCTTTTGGAAGAAATGAGGTATTTTATTCATTTACATTTCACATTGGGCTATAAGATGCATAGAAAAATTAAACTAAACAAGGTACCATGTTGTGGCAAACTCAAAACACATATTACAAATTGAAGCTTGTGGCTTGTTAGCTTTCATTTTTCACATTAAACATCTTGATGTCTACAAATCTATGTCTTTTAACCTATTCCAACACCTGAACAAAGTTTTAAATGATGTATAAATCAAGAATATTAATATAAAGTTGAAAATAAAAATAAAATTTAGCCAGCTTTAATTGTAAAACCTGAGAGATTTAAATCACAAAATATATGTTCTACTCTTATCACAAATTGTGTGACTTTGAACTTCTCCTCTGTGAGAGTCAGTTTTGAAAGTAAGGATATATGATTTTACTAAGCTCAAATCAGACTAGTCTAATTTCCTTTCAAAGATGGTGAAAAACCACACTGATGATAGGAACAGTAAGTCTAAGTATAAAATTCAAGCAAGGCCTGTGATTTCAGTTAAGAAAACGCATGGGCTGCTTTGAATTTCCTATTAACTGAGGTTCACTGTGAGTCCTTTTCTCTTTCACACTTAGACCTAACCAATTGCAAAACATAACTTACAAGAGCCAGCCACAGTAGTGCATGGCTATAAATCCCAGTACTGACAAAGGCTAAAGCAGGAGAACTGTCACAAGTTCAAGGCTAGCCTGAGCTACAAAGAAAAACCCTGCCTTAAAAAACAAAGGTGGGGTCAAGGAAGAAACTCACTTTTTGGAAAGCTTTAAACACAGAAATGATTTTAACTAAACAATACAAGGTGGTTACTTAAACTTAAACCTGTGTGCATTTTTATTAAGATCAGATTGTGTGGAGATTCTTGAAAAATGTGGAGACCAGGACAAATTTCCTGAAGATCACACAGCAGAAAGTATTTGTGAGCTTCTGTCACCTACAGATGACCTGGAGAATTGTATACCCTTAGATACATACCTCAGTAAGTACTGCTTTTTTTGTTTGATTTTAAATTTCAAATACTTGTCTTACAACCTCTGTCCTCGCTCTCTATCTTTTGAGAACATGTGTTTCAATGCAACCATCTTGCTCACTTTTTTGTTTTGTTTTGTTTTGTTTTGTTTTTTTGGTACCAGAGATTGAACCCAAGCCCTTTGCACTGAGCTACATCCCAGCCCTTCTTTTTAATTTTATCTTGAGACAGGGTCTTGTTAAATCATTAAAATGACCAGACCTGACCACCTCAGTCTCCTGGACTGTTGGGATACAGATGTGTACCATCATACCCAGAATCAGTCACAGACTCTTACTTATTTGGCTTTTTTCACCCGGGAAAATGTTATCATCCTAAAATTTGTAAGCAGAAGTGATAGCCTGAGGAGGTGTGAACTGTTAGCGATCAGGAATTCCAAGCTGTGAATCAGGGGCCAGCATTCCCATATATCATGCTGTCTCCTTGCCACGAGGTAACCAGAAGCTGGAATTCCCCTGAGGGAGTATTCAACTTTTTGTCATCAGAATATCAGTGTACCTGAGCTAGGCTTGGTTGCACTTACCTACCCAAAAGACAGTAAAAAGTGATTGTCTGGGTTAGTACAAAGAAAAGCAATTTATGCCACTACTACAGCTTCTCTGTCACATACACCTCCCAAGAGCTACAGAGCAAGTTGGTATCTCATGGAGGGATTTGGGAATTGAGTTTCTCAGCAGCAATATGATTACCTAATGGAGGCCAAGTATATAACACATAGAACTAAAACTATATACTCAATAGTTAAGGGAGGTGTTTAGGCTGCCAGCAGGGGCATTAGTGTGATGAGCTTGCTGGAAAGGAAGCTGGTAAAGTCAACTCCTATGGTACTTGTTTTCTTTTCTGTATCAGGATTAAATTCAACTGCTAATTACAGAAGTGCAGACGAAACTAAAAGAAATAGTTCAGGGCTGTTATGGTGGCTCCCTAACAGCATGAGGAATCCAGACTCCTTTTTTCTTTCTCCACTTCCTTACTTAAAGGATTCTTACTAACACAACGTGGTTACTAGAGTTCTGTCTGCCATATTATAGTTCCAGATGCAAAAGGAAAGGATCAAAGTGAACAACAACTGCTTAATCTCATTGACCACTCCTGGTTATGTGGAAAACTGGAAAATGTTATCTTTAGCTGTGGGTTTCCATTGCCACCCAGAGTAAAATTGAGAATCTTGCAGTAAGCAGGAAGAGGGAAATAGATGCTGAATTTGTAGTTGGTGTTATCTGTCCCTTTTCTTAAAACCAAAACCTATGTCTCTTAACCTTGCAACCAGTATCAAAAAGGAGAGGATTAGACTGGAATTTAGACCTCTATGAATTTGAGCAAATCATTTCTTTGAGTCTCAGATTTTCCATGTGTGGATTGAATGGGCTGGGTGAGATAATTCCAAGAGTCCTTCTGTCTCTGTTAGAGTCTCACTGTGGCCTAAAATTAAACAAGCAAAATTAATATATTTCCAATCCTAGACTATTATAGCAGTCAGATATATGTGTAGAAGTAAACTTTATTTTAATTTAACTCACCATTCTTGGTTTATTTATTTTTATTATGTAGTAGAAGGAAACTTTTGGGCTGGTGAGATAGCTCAGCAGACTAAGTGTCTGCTTAGGCAAGTGCAGGCACTGGGGTTCAATCCCCTGCACCGCATGCCACTCTGGCTCCACCCCCAGGCTCTCTGAGTTGGCCACAGAAACTGGGCATGGTGGTGCATGCTGTAATCCTAGCACTGGGGAGGCTGAAAACAGGAGGATCGCAACAAGCCCAAACTGTGGAGTGAGACCCTGTACCATATATTGTTTTGTTTTGTTTTGTTTTTTTACCATATATGTTTTTAAAAAATGATAGAAGGAAACTTTCAACAAGAGAAAAATTAAAGAATTTTACTTTAATTTCAGTACTGTTTAAATATCACACATACTTTAAGTGAGATTCTTCCTTAGTGATAATTTCAGAAGTTAAATGTAATCATGGTATGTAGGGTATTTTTTTTTTTTTTTTTTTTTTTTGGCAGAACCGGGGATTGAACTCAAGCCCTTGCACTTGCCAGGCAAGCGCTTAGTCTACTGAGCCATCTCCCCAGCCCCTGTATGGTATTAACATAACAAATTATCATTTATAATAAAGCATGCTAAATTATCCCTCTTAGGCATAAACAACTATTTATCACCATGTCCAAAATATACCTATCACTTTCCATCCATCCTATAACACTTATAGTTACTTTATTTATTTATTTATTTATTTGGATTTTTTCGCTTCTATTTTTTTAGGAGAATAAAAAATAGTAAAAAACAAAAAACAAACAAACAAAAAAAAAAAAACAACCAGTGGGGCCAGTGAGATAGCTCAGCAAACTAAAGCACCTGCTTAGCCAAGCTTAGGCAAGCACAGGGATCACTCTTTGATCCCTGGCACCACCTGCCGCTCCAGTCCCACCCCCACGGCAGGGTAACCCAGCCAGAGGCCAGGCATGGTGGCACACACTCCATGGCTAACTCCACGGCTGGAGAGGCTGAAAGCAGAAGGATCACCATGAGTCTGAGCTGCATAGTGAGACCCTGTAACAACCAAATACATTTAAAAAAAATTAAAAATGATACAGAATTTCACTAAACAAAATGATAAGAATTCAACAGTGGATGTTATGTTGCATATTGTTTTCTTCAAATTAGTTTTTCAGATTATCAGATGTAAGCATGCAAAACTGATTAAAAATTATTTAAAAAATTAAAAAGGAGAGAGAAAAAAAATAAGTATTAACTGCTCCTTTAATAGACCCGCAGAAATCAGTAGTACAATTATCTAAGCCATCCTGTGTATATAGATATATTTGTATCTCACTTTCTTCTTTCTTCTTTTTCTCCTTTCTGTCATCCCAGTTGTTCTTTTCCTTTGAACAGTTTCTTTCCCTTTCACCATATATATTGTACTTTTCAGATTTTATTTACTCTTTCAGGTTCTTATGCTAGAAGACAACACAATGCTTACACATACGGGTCTGATTTATTTTACCTGAGTATGGCCTCTAGTTGCATCCATTTACCTATAAAAACCTCAAGTTTATCTTTTTTATAATTCAGTAATACTCCATTGTATAAAAATGCTGCATCTTTTTTGTCAATTCCTCAGTTGGTGGACATTTGGGCTGGTTCCAAGATTTAACTATGACAAATTTCACTGCTATAATCATGGGTGCACATATGTCACTGTGGTATGATATTTTCAGTTCTTCTGGAAAAATACCCACAAGGTATATAGGTGGGTCAAATGGGACCTCTAATCCTAGTTTTTTTGAGGAGGCTCCATACTGATTTCCACAGTGGTTGTACCAGTCTGCACTCCCACCAATAGTGGAGAAGGGTTCCTTTTTCATTTTATTTATACATATCATATTTATTGTCTATTTCTTCACCAGATATAAATGCTTACATTAAAGGCTTATCTGTTTTGTTCAACAACATACCTTTAGTGTCTGGTATGTTGTAGAGACCAAATAAATAAATAAATGCATGTATTTTTATACTAAATTCACAAATTATGAAAAAATCTAAATGTTTTATTAGCTTATTAGAATCAGGCCTCACTTTATGCCCTGAAGCTCTTCATTTATTGCAGCTATAATTAATTTAGATAACTTACAGACATTTATTACTCTTTCAAGTTGGTTAAACTGATCTGTTTTTGTTTTTTTCTTTTTTCCCCCCAGAGCCCAGTACTTTAGGTAATATTGTAGAAGAAGTAACTCATCCATGTAACCCAAATCCTTGTCCAGCCAGTGAGCTCTGTGAAGTGAACCGGAAAGGGTGTCCATCTGGAGAGCCCTGCCTTCCCTATTCTTGCATTCAAGGTGTGTGTGTGTGTGTGTGTGTGTGTGTGTGTGTGTGTCTTAGTTACTTTCTCATCCCTGAGACACAATACCTGACATCCATAATTTAAAAGAGGAAAGATTTATTTTCACTCACAGTTTGTAGATGTTTCAGTCGATAGTCAGCTGGTTTTAAGGCAGAGCTGTAGATAGCAGAGGGGCATGGCAGTGGGAAACAGAGAGAGAGAAAGAAGAACAAGACAAGGTAAATACTTTTAGCCCCTGCTCACAGTCACCTTCTTCTTTGACCAGATCCTGCTTTCTGACAAGTCACGTACAAACATATCAGTAAGTAAACTACTGATAAGTATCACACCCCAGTATCCAGTCACCTCCCAGGAGCCCCACCTATGAGTACATGAGGCTTTTCGGTGACATCTAGATATACACTATCACAAGGTATGGGACAAATATGGATAGGCGGTGCTAGTGTTTATAGGAGTTATCTTTGGCATACCTGTGATTATAAGGGAATTTGTTTTGTTTTGTGTTTTTTCACTGCTAGGGAGTAAACCCCAGGGCCTTATGCCATGGTAGGCTATATATATAT